ATTTTGGCGCCCGGGGACACATGTACCCCCCCTCGCTACATGTCAGTGTAAACACTTACTTGTTGTATCATGTTTGACCAATACTCATTTTAACATGTCTGTTTAACGTTTAACACAAGATAAATAGTTGGTTAAATGTTTAACACATTTTAACATATTCGTTTAAGACAAATAATTCGTCATGTTTGTTTTAAAATTCACCTTCATTATCAGCTTTTCAGTTTAGTACTAATGGACACATGGGGCAGGGCAGATGAAGTAGAGTTCATATGTTTCAATGACCTCACCTTATACAGTGGTAGTGTGGTCAGTACTTTGCCCAACCGCCTAAGTTTTCCCTAATGTGAGTCACGTCCCCATCAGAGTTGGATGAACTTAAGGGCGACAGTGGGATCAGCGTGGTCGATTCGGTAAAGACGATAGTTGCTAAACCGAAAAGTCTCGAGTTCGAACCCTCGGTCAGGTGAGGCTAGATAGCTGGGGACAACAACTCTTCCAGGAGAGACAACTCCACACTTAAACAACTGCTGCCTTGAAGTTCGTTCTTAGTTGGACAAAGGTTATTGAAGCAAATCCAATAAGAAAAGCAGGTTGAAGTCGGAGTCAACGGCCGATATAACGCATAATCAGTTGACGCGTAATATTAAGTTGTGTTAAAGGATATCCCTTCCACCACAAGAATTTAGAAGGAAAAAGAAAAAGGGCGTTTGTAAAACATTTTTTGTTGCGTAGCCAGGAATTGGTCATGGTAGGTCATATATACATATATATATATACATATATATATATATACACATATATATACATATATATATATATATATATATATATATATATATATATATATATATATATATATATATATATATATATAGGGGAGTCCATGGGAGGGGTTATAACCCCCCACTATCCCGCCCCCCCCCCTTTGCCTACGCCACTGAATACAACATGTTAGTTTATCACTCACCTAAGGCAACGATAGTCCTTTTAATGTCAGACAGAAGTATGGCCATCGAATATTCAGTCAGCTTGCTGGGTTTTTCTGACTCTCCGCAGCCTCTGGTGTCGATAGCAACCACCCTGTTGATTAGAACATGTTTAATTAAGTAATAATGTCAGGGTAGAGCGAGACATATTGTATCGGTTCCCAGAAAAATGCGCAAATGGAAAACTTCGCAAACAGAAAAATGCGCAAACAGAAAAAAGTCCTTTTAGAACTATTCAATTCGGGAATGCACTGTACTTATGTTACCTGTAATCCTTTTGGAACTTTTTAATTTGGTAATATGACATCAATCTGTTACCTGTAATCCTTTTGAAACGCTTAGATTAGGAAATGCACTGTACTTAAGTTACCTGTAATCCTTCTGGAACTCTTTGATTTGATGCCTCCACGAGAACCAGAACTCAGGGAAGCCGTGAATGAACAGCATCAGAGGTTTACCCTCAGGTCCGCTAGCCACGTAGTGAAGCTTGATGCCCTGTAGAAGTACACGTCACGTAAGTAAACGTATGCATAGTTTCTTCCAGGCATCCCTACGCGGGGGGGGGGGGGGGGCGGGGTTAGCGCCCCCCCCCCCCCAAATTTAAATTTTAAGTGCCCCCCTTCCCCCCCGGAGAAAAAAAGTCTGGAAGAAACACTGAACGTAGTCACGAGAGTTTCTGAACTACTCCCTACAGGACACAATTGATGAAGATTGCATTCGGTACATTTTTCACATTTTATGTCTGTTTATAACTGTTTTCGCCAGACGGTCCCATTAGATGTGCCATTAAATTCTATTAAATACGTGAAATGTTAAAAAGTAGGCTATAGTAGGTCGTCCCCCCAATGACGTCACACTCCTAAGGCGGTGAGTGGTGTTGGTTGATGTGAGGGGTGCGTGTTTGGATTCAAAGTTTTGTTACGAGGGGGAGGTTCAGAATGTGTAACTACACAATTTCGGATTTCAAAAAATAGTATATTAAACTGAGTATCAGCCTTTATTTTCAAAAAGTAGCATATTAAACTGATTTTCGCGTGTTAAAAAGGCTTATTTGTAAGCTGAAAGAAACTTCGATTTATCTACACCATGTTAATTGAGTTCAGCGAATTTTTTGAGAAAAAAAAATCGTGGTTTTTAATAAACAAAAACAGCAATTTTGTCGGATGGATAATAAGTTTAGGTGTGTCGTTAGTTTGTGGAGGGGGTCTGGCTTTTTGTGGCGATGTGATACAACGGGGGAGGGAGGTAAATACGTTTATTTTAAAAACTTGATATCGTTTGTTGATAACCCCTTTATTTAACCTAGCTTTAAAAAATGTGATTACCTTTAATGCGAGAATTCCGTGTGTCCCGTAATGCGGGTCATCTAGACACGCGGGTCGGCGTATGGGTTGGTGGCGGAAAACTTGACGGACACCGGTCGTGAGAGACTCTCTGGCGATCCTGTATAAAACCCAGAGTCCCTGGGTAAGGGCGACAACCCACAACATGATCTGGTCAAACAACTTTGCCATCGCGAGTTATCCTGTAGTGAAAGTATGTTGAAATAATTCTTTTATAAACATCCAGTTTATTTTAGATATAGCGACATTGTAGGGAATATAAGTTTATTTTAGGACCTTATGTACTTCTAATTAGTTATTTATATGTTTATATGTGCACGCATACTAAAATGCGTTTCAATTAACTTTTTAAGTATTTGAAATAATTTAAATTAAGGATAATCAGTCATAACCAGTTGACACGTACCGCTTAATTGTGTTGGAGGCGTGGTCGAGTCGGCAAAAAGCTCATGGTTGATAAATTCGAACAAAGTCTCGAGTTCAAACCCACTGGCAGATAAATCTCGATCCCCTTCAGCACTAATAATTAAGAACGAAGAAGAAGAAGAAGAAGAACGTTGATAGGTAGTAGATGGCAAGACTATTCATTCGACTTGTAAATCTGTATCAGTCCTCACAAGCCGATGATGAAAACTGTAATACTAAAGCCAACATGCACGGCAAACTGACGCTATAAATTACATGCCTGAGGCGGGGGGGGGGGGGGGGGGGGAAAGAAAAAAAAAGAAAAAAATTCGAACTCACCACAATATACTTTAATATGCAAACCGGTTAAAATTTGGAGGAAAAATACAATTGATGAAAACAAAAGATTTATATAGGCCCTATCCCAGCTTTTAATCACATAAAAAATAAACGACAATATGACAAAATGAAAAACCAACGCCCTACATAACAAGGCTGGTAAGTAGGTCACCAACCAGTTCTACCGCTCATTAATACCTGCATGAGCCATAGAACTGGTTAGGTCAGCCCTAATCTATTCATAATCTACACACTACACCCAAGAACTATACTGCATGTGCTGATCTCTATTATATGTTGCTTGCACAAGCCCTAAGATACATATGTACAATCCCTGTATATAAATATATATATATATATATATATATATATATATATATATATATATATAATATAGGCTACCATATGATACACAATACATGTTGCACAATCAAATAATGCTGATACCCAAAAAGGCGTATACAACTGGGTGGATAATTACTTTGATCTAAATGACGTTTGCTTCCCGTAATTAATAAAATTAAAAATTGTTTACACATTTACTACTTACTTTCTATATAATTTTTTGCGTCCTGTAAAGACAATCAAATACACACGAAAACAAAAGCGCGATGTAAACACACTAAAAACAACAGCCCGTTTAAAATGCAATCTGCTTTTGTGAAATAAAATAATGCAACGCGGCGTTGAAGAGAAAAGTCTGACAAATGTGAAAGTTCCAGTTTATTCGGCCTCGGCTAGCCTTGACCTTTCGTCGATAGTTCCAGTTTTTGTACGTTTTATTTTGCCAACTGTATGCAACCAGCAGACGCGATTATTTTTGTGTTGTGTAGCTCGTCTCGCGAGTCCGACACGACAGTGGCGTAGCGAGGTCGGGTGTCACCCGGTGCGGCACTTAATGGTGTCACCCCCTCAGAGGCGTAGCGACCCTTCCCGGGGACAAACTTTCAAATTTTCGATTTGCACCCCCCCTCGAACTTTCGATTTGCACCCCCCCTCCTCAAGTTTTTCTCTATATATTTTGCTATTTTTTGCCTTGGTGTCACCCCCCTAAATGGTGTCACCCGGTGCGGTCCGCACCCCCCGCCCCCCCTCGCTACGCCCCTGCGACACGACACGGTTATTTTTGACTGTCGAGGGGAAGAAAATGTTCTAATTCTATCTCAAAGCACTGAATAAGGTTTATTTTTTTTCTGCGTTTTAAGATACAAGATGAGTTCTAAAACGTATTCTTTGAGTTTATTAGCATTGCAAAGAAAACCAGACTGCTAAAGCTATAGACGACCTATTATGAGGTGGCTCAATGTCAGACATGTTAGACATTGCGTGACACCTAACTCAGTGTCTTTACCAGTGTTTCTTCCAGACTATTTTTCCACGGGAGGCACTTGAAATTTTCAGGGGAGCGGACTAAAATTTCCGGGGGGGGGGGGGGGGAAGGAGAGAGAAACTCTCAATAGTATATATTTTTAATATAACTTCCATTTCGTTCGGGGGGTGGGGGGGGGGGCGAAGAGACGCCGGGAAGAAACGCTGGATTTCATTGATGCCTATTCGATAAGTGTAGGCCTATAAGTCCAGGCACCGAAACCACTGTATAAAACAATTTAGACAAAACAAAAGGCAGGCAACTATGGGTGAGATGCGACGAGTGATTTATAGATGGATAACTCTGTTTGAAACTCAATATAAGCAGGGGAAAATACGTGAAAAAAAACAACAACAGCGGAAAGATACAAGGGAAAATATTATTTAAGCTCCTTCGGTCAAAAATTTTACAAGAAAATATCAACCCTATTTTATAGGATATCGTATTAGGTATGGGTTTTATAGTAGGTTTAAATATTTGTTTTTTTTTTAAAAATCTATAACTTAAGCGTGTGCGATGTCGAAGGAGATGGGGTATTTTGCACCCCCTCAAACTTTTTATTTGCACCCCCCCCCCCTCAAACTTTTCATTTGCACCCCCTTCTTCAGACTTCCGATTTTACACCCCCCCCCCGCTCAACCTTTATGTATCTACCGAGGAGTCTATTGGGGGGTGTTCTGAGCCCCCTAACCCCCCCCCCCCCTTCCCCTGTCTACGCCACTGGCTCAACCAAAATGTAAGTCTGCAGTAAAAATTTGGTCGATTGTAACGACTGTTTGCCGCACCTCGTAGTGTCTCCACGCCTTCCCAATATATATATATATATATATATATATATATATATATATATATATATATATATATATATATATATATATATATATATATATGACACTGGTAGACTGGTCAGATGTGGCACTGGTAGCTCTACTATCCACTATCTATTGGTCTCAAGTTCGTATCCCGGGCTCGAGTTTGTTTTGTTATATGTCCATCCAACTGTGATGGGTACCTGGCTCGCATTAACAAAGTAAAGGCGGCTGGGGGCGCAGAAATAACCACACTAACTCTTGTAAGCATAGGACACAGAACACTCTACTTCATCTACGCTATTAACCGCTTAACTAATAGTTAACTTTGCTTTCATATCACACCTCATATCGCTCATTCATCACTCCGCCATCTCCCCCGCTTCTCATCATTGTGTGTTTTAAGAGCACATCTCTATAATCTCTGCACACCAGTTTATATTTAGATTCTCTCATGGCGTCTTTCTGCACGGTGTTACTTCCGTTTAATATGAAAGTAAAGCTCAGTATCATTGATGATTCTTTGTTAAAATCAGCTATAATGTAATAAAGGGTTTGTGTCCAATGATCCTAATGTGATCCTGTAATAAAACGTGTGTTTTCCACAGTATCCTTATCATGACGATAATCTGTGGTGCTATTTGTGTAGTGATGGCATTCATCATACAAGCAGGTACTTTGTTGTGTTTCAGCCTGGTATCCTCTAGCACAGAGGCGTAGCGACCCTTCCCGGCGAGGGGGGACAGACTTGCAATTCGGCGCCCCCACCGCATATATTTTTTTATATTTATAATGCAAAATTGCAGCTAAAATGAGCTTATAATTTTTTCCAACCCATTTTGGCGCCCGGGGACATATTTACCGCCCCCCCCCCTCGCTACGCATCTGCTCTAGCTTCAGCACACAAAAACTGGTCAATAAAAAATGTGTAAACCTCTGTCTTAAAGACTTAATTTACACGCAGATTTTCCCATAAATAAACGCATGCTTTGAACGACAAACACACATTCCCGCGTGTATGTAACGTCATACAATCAAACACACCATCCACGCGCGCATTCACACGTTAAGAGGATTTGTTTGTGTTTGTTGACTACGTGTTTGATTTCTTGAATAACATTACACGTTTAAGTTCTTTTTCTTATCAAACATAGCCAACAAATTATGTCATTCATGTACACATTCGTACATTGTTCACAATAACTATAGGCCTGCATTTGATAACGACATATTCAGGTAGACTAAATAAATGTACAATTGTGAACCCCACGCAGACTAAACAACTGTACCCCACCCCCACACACAGACTGTACCACCCCCGCCTCACCACAGACTTAACGAACCACACCCCCACACAGACTAAATGTACCAGAACCCCACACAGACTAAATGTACCCCACCCACACACACTAAATGTACCAGACCCCCAACACAGACTAACTGTACCCCACCCCCACACAGACTGTACCACCCCCCACCACAGACTAACTGTACCCCACCCCCACACAGAGTGTACCCCACCCCCACACAGACTAAATGTACCACACACCCACACAGACTGTACCCCCCCCCACCACCGACTTATTGTACCACACCCCCACACAGACTAAATGTACCCCACCCCCACACAGACTGTACCCCACCCCCACACCCTCACACAGACTGTACCCCACCCCCACACAGACTAACCACACCTGTCCACCACCATCCAGGTACCCCCAGTGAGGCGCATCTCACCAAGTACGTCATAGCCTGGCCTGTCGAGCCCCACCGAGGGTCATCTGAGTTCTTGATCAGCACCGTGACCGTTACAGACATTTCGGTAAGGCAGTGGCGTAGCGAGGTCGGGTGTCACCCGGTGCGCGGCACTTAATGGTGTCACCCCCCCCCCCAGAGGCGTAGCGACCCTTCCCGGGGACAAACTTTCAAATTTTCGATATGCACCCCCCCTCAAACTTTCGATTTGCACCCCCCCCCTCGAACTTTCGCTTTGCACCCCCCCCCCCCTCAAGTTTTTGATTTGCACCCCCCCCCTCGAACTTTCGATTTGCACCCGCCCTCAAGTTTTTCTCTATATATTTTGCTATTTTTTGCCTTGGTGTCACCCCCCTAAATGGTGTCACCCGGTGCGGCCCTCACCCCCCGCCCCCCCCCCCCCTCGCTACGCCCCTGCGGTAAGGAGAGGCTCTACTGTGACCGTTACAGACATTTCGGTAAGGAGAGGCTCTACTGTGACCGTTACAGACATT